AAATTCACACAGGCTGCACCGTTCTCTTTGGTCATACCTGTCATCTGTGTGTGCCCGGGCGTGTGGAAGCTAGAGTGAATGAATATGTGTTATTGACGTGGGCATGGCCATATCAAGGACCGCAATGCCTTGGCCCGCGGGAAACGGCAAGGCTTTCCTTCCTGGCCCCAGTATAAATGTTGACAGTGTGTACAGAAAACGCCCACCATAGCTTTATCCTCCTGGGTGATCCTGGCCTGAAGAGAGCTGCTGCACAGAAATGCTAAGCCTGCCTCCTCGATTAGGCTGTACCCCATAACCCCTGTCCCCTTGATTCGCTGTACGCAATAACCTTTCCTCCCTGTTCAACTGTGCGAAATAAACACACTGAGCTTCCCTGATGCTGAGGCTTCTCCATGAGAGAGCCCAGTTCACCCGGTCCCAGCTTTCCATTTGTCCGTGTGTCTTCCTTCATTACCCCACCGCACCAGCCCAGTCAAGTTCCTGCAGCTGTGCTAGGGTCAAAGAGCCCAGTTCACCCAGTCCCAGCTTTCCATTTGTCCGTGTGTCTGTTCATTCCCCCGCCGCACCAGCCAGGTCAAATCCCTGGAGCTGTACTAGGATGTGGCACTTCTGCTTGTGGCTTGTGTGGATATGACTATGTCATAGTGCCCCAAAGGCTTGCTGACATTGTATTTACTAAAGTAGCTATGTCCTTTTCAGTGTCCTAAGCGAGTGGCCTGAGGAAGAGCTAAAAGCACTCTTGAACAAGCCACTGCTGAGACCCCGCTAGATGGTCCGAGGTGGTATGGCACTTCCCCGTTTTGTCTTCTTCCGCTGTCCGTGACTGATCTGCTCCCCTGCCTTCTGTTCCAGTCCCTCCCGTTGGGTTCCTCTCTCTCTTTCTGGCTATTTTAGGAAAACGCTTGCTCCATCCTCTTGACACAGCTGCGAGAAAACTATCATCTTTAGCATAACAAAGACGTATCCCCTGGGCCTCCAGTGCAGAACCCACAGGGAAGGAAGGGGCAGCTACAGGACAAGGCCCCCTCTCCATGGGTTGCCCCCCACGGGTTGCCCCCCACCCAGCCCTCCACTGTGCTTTCCCCTGTGCTTCTGAACAGCTCAGATGGGGCAGGGTGGACTGTCTGAAGAAGGGCTTACCAAAGCAGTGAAGGGGGGAGGGGTGGGACAGAGACCTCTGCAGCTCAGTGGCTAAGCCACAAACACAGCTTCACCCTTGAACTCGTCACCGAGAGGAAGTGATGGCGCGGGGTCTAACAAAACCCTCTCCAGCTGACAAGCTCCCCACACAGGCAATGCTGAAGAAGCCTTCACTGAAGGCCTTTGCTCCAAGATGAAGGTCCACACAAAGCCCACGGGATGTGGGAGGTTCAGGGTTGGACTCTTCAACCACTCTTTTAGAAGATCATTTTGTGAAGCCTCGGGACACAGAACTGTGGTTAGCCTCGCTAGGCTGGAAGGGCCTTCTGCCTGAGGCTCCTCTAGCCTGCCTTACCTCATGCCTCTTCAGCATGTGGGTCATACTATCATACTACTACAAAGGGCGAGGAGGGGTCCTGTACTATCATACTACTACAAAGGGCGAGGAGGGGAGCCCCTTAAACGCTAGAAATGATTCCCGAAGCATTCTCTTTGAAGGTCCCTTTGCACGCGTATCTCTTCCCACAATGCATCAGCCATGGCCTGAGTGAGAAATAAAATATAGAAATGAAAGTGTGTGACTTCCAAGGCTGCGTTACTTTGGGAGTTCCCCCACCAGCTCTTGTTCTGAGTGCTTCCCCACCCCCAACCCCCACTCTGCCTGTGGCCTGTTTGGAAGGCTCTAGACCCTTTAGGAGGTGGTGCGTGACCCCTGGAAGCCCTGGAAAGTTATGGCCACTTCGGTATTCAGGCCTGCTTTCTCTAAGCCGTGTGAACTGCCTTGTGCTCCCACCACGGCAAGCTAACACGCCGCTCTGTTCTTTCCCCACCGTAATGGACTGGATTCTTCTGAACCTAAGAGCCAAAGTCAAGGTTTCTTCTGCTACGTCGTTTCTGCCAAGCATTTTATCACCATGGTGATAAGAGGGAAAAGAACTCTGGCCTCTGACCTTGCCTGTTTTCTATTTTGGGGTGTGCATAATGACTCTCAAAGTGTCCTATGGAGAGGGCTGTGTGGCAAGTAGCAGAGGCCTCATCGGGTCTTGGTCACAGACCTGCAGCCCAATCAAGCTCTCAAGTGCCCGATGCCCTGACCACAGCTGAAGCCTTGCTAGGTCACCCCCTAACTGCTCCTGCTTCCGGACTCCAGCAACTGTGTGAAATGGTACATGTTGTTTGTTTTCAGCCAAGGGAAGGGACAATCTGTTGCACAACAGATAGCTAATATTTTAATTCCATCGCAAGCGACTCATTCCTAGCCTCAGCGTTTACCAAATCAGCAAAGAAACTGGGTGGGAATGACTTGGGCTGGTAAAAAATGTCCAGACACAAAAGGCAACAGCCCTCTCTCGTCTCACAGCCCTGCCTTCCTCAATAGACACCAGACACCAGCCTCTTTACAGGTCTAAGAAGACTGTATGTGCCCTCTCTAGGCTTCTGGGAAAGCTAGCTTCTCCCTTTACTCCCTCTGCAAGCCCCAGTGATGTCAGAGAACCACCCCTACCCCACCCCACCACCAAGTAACTGGTTAAAGAAGTGTGGTAGTGTGAACCTACTGGCCCCCATAAGAGCATAGGGTATGGCACTATTAGGAGGTGTGGCCTTGATAGAGGAGACTGGATGGCACACACCTTTAATCCAGACCTTGAGGCTGGAGGGTACACTTTTAATCTGGGCTACACCTTCTACTGAAAGTGTAGCACTGTGGGGGCCGGCTTTGAGGTCTTTTTCTCAAGCTCCACTTGGTGTGACAGTCAGTCTACTTCCTGTTGCCTGTAAGATGTAGCGCTCTCAATTCCAGCATCACATCGGCCTGCACGCCGCCATGTTCCCCTTCCTGGTCACAATGGACTGAACCTCTGAAACTGTAAGCGGGCCACCCCAATTAAATGTTGCCTTTATAAGAGTTGTGGTGGTCGTGGTGTCTCTTCACAGCAATAGAACCCCAACTAAGACAAGAAGTGTCCATCATTTCAGGGGGATCCCCAGTCCTCTCTGTGACTCGGTGAGCATCAGGGTCATCAGAGAGATGTTGAATCAGAGACGGACAAGAAGACTACCCCAGACAGCGGCAGCAGGGCTGGGGCTGGGGAGAAAGTGCACAAAGGGTGGAGCAGCTGAATAAAAGAGAATAGCACCATAGAAAAGGCTTTTGAAGCCAGACGTAATGCCTGATGGTGTTCCAGAGCTTGGTGTCATGGGACCTGCCCCAGCCCCAGAGCAGTGTCCCAACCTGGCAGCTGCCAACAGGAATCTTTTGCTGTCAACCAACGGGTTCATAGCACCCACCAGATTCACATCTTCCACCTACCAGAACCCTGTTAGCAAAGGATAGACCCCCAGGGAGGAGCAGCTGGGCCAGCTCAGGCTTAGATCCTCATCCACTCATGGGGCTGTTCCTCCCAACAAAAGATAAGGGTCCCAGCGATGAAGAGTGCTTGGTGACCTCTGGCCACTAGGACAAAACACCTGACAACTTAGGGAGAGTTTATTTTGGCTTGTGGTTCAGGGGCTAAGGCGTGGAACTAGAATGACTTAGTCTGAGGCAGTAGGAGCCTGTGACAGGGCTTGTTCACATCTTGGGAGGTCAGAGAGCAGAGCGCTCAGGTAAGGAAGAAAAGCAGCTGGAATCTGCAAGCCTCCACCCCCACCCACCCCACTTCTGCTAGCTAATCCACACATCCCAAAGATTTCCCAGCCTCCCTAAACTGTACCATTGCTGGGGACCACGTTTTTAAACACATGAACCTATGGGGGAACATTTACATCCAAACTCTAGCGGTACCCAGCAATGGAGAGGGAAGGCACACATTGCTGGTTGGAATTCTCAGCCTCCACTACCACCCTCAGATCCTGGGCCTACCTACCTACCCACATCAAGGCCAATGCTCTGGCCCACGCTCACACACAGACATAGGTGGTACCTGACATTCCGGGCCTTACACTTGGCCCTGAGGATGCTGAAACATACAGGACTCAGTCCTTCCCTCAATGAGCTTCTTATTTGGGAAGGACAGACAAGTGAACAGGTGGATGCCATGCATGAAGATACACTCAAGTATCGAATAAGCACAGAGAAAGCAATGTCGCCTAGAGTCAGGAAGGCCTGCTGGCTCCGTGGTTAAGAGCGCTTCTTCCTGCTGCTCTTCCAGAGGCCCTGGGTGTGATTCCCAGCACCCACATCAGATGATCTACAAATGTCTGTAACTGCAGCTCCGGAAGCCCCTGTGCTGTCCCCATCCCCCCACAAAAACAGAAATAAAAACTAAATAAATATTTTAAAAAGAGCCCTATCATAGCTCGGCCCCGTGGTGCACGCCTGAGAGGTAGGGGCAAAAGTTCAAGATCATTCTCTGCTGCATAATGAGTTTGGGCCATTCTGGCTACGTCAGAACGAGTTCCATGGGTGAAGTCTGGTTGGGGGGGGGTGGCGAGGGGAGATACAAACTGCCTTTCTTTGTCTCTGTTCTACAGTTAAGGAAACTAAGAACCAAGTTTCCATCTTTTACTAAGGTTATATGTAAAATAAAAAGGAAATCTGGGCTTTTAACCTAGGTAGGTTGGAGCTTCTGGGCTTCTCCACCTTGGCAGTAGGTATCTTGTTACCCTGATACCCGAGGCACAAATGTAGGGCGTATCACTAGTCTCTACCCACTAGGTGGCAGTAGTATTCTCCGTTGTTTTGGGTTTTTTCTTTTTTTCTTTCTTTTCTTTCTTTCTTTCTTTCTTTCTTTCTTTCTTTCTTTCTTTCTTTCTTTCTTTCTTTCTTTCTTTCTTTCTTGGTTGAAATCTCAAGAGATTGTCAAATACTCCCTAGGGAGCAGTGGGGAACCACTAAACTAACCCTTTTCCTTTCTTACCTCCGCAAACTCAGGATGAAGCGTACTGCTCACCAAGGACCAGGCATCCTCCTAAACAATTTAAGTTATGAACTCATTTACTCTTCACTAGAGCCCCCTAGTGCCAGCTTCATTGCTCTGTGTTCTACAGAGGAGGACACCAGTGGCTCGGAGAAATCACACACGCTGGAGACAGTCACAAAACTTGCAGGTAGCGATCGATGCCTCCCTTGGTTGGAACCTGTTGAAGGTGGCTTGGAGCCACGTTTTTATGGCAGTGCCGTGCTGTGTTGCCCTCCTATGACTAAAGGGGGGTGGCAGTGTCATGGGCGGGGGGAGGTCAGGCAAGTGTGAGAAATGGAGACTCCATAAGATTAATAGTGAGACTAACACAGGAGCAAACAGCGGGATGAGGCTGGGGAGGGGGGGGGCGGGGAATGAGAAGACCACACTTACTGAGGAAGAACCGGACAGGACAGACAAACAAATGTCTCAGGGGGCTCACACCTTGAAAAGGCTTCAGAAAGGGAGTGTGTGATTTAACTGTAGATGATCGCAGTAGGGAGGGTGGGCTTGAGAGCTGAGACCGGTGGCTGGATTTGGGGGTTTGTTTTGGACCCTGCTGTGAGGGTCCCTGACTTCAGTCAATGACTGCCGTGGGGAATAGCATGCGGAACAAACCAGGTCGTCAGAGCCACCTTGTCTCTGAATCCCACAGCCCTACTCAGTACTGGATCTCCCTTCAACCCTGGTGCTGGACCCAGAAGGCCCAGAGTGTTTTGGCTGGGGCGGGAGGGGGGGGGGACGACAAAGTTTGGAAAGGAGAAGACAAACTGAGCTGGTGAGCCGGTTCAGTCGAGCAAGGGCGCTCGCCGCCAAACCTGACGACTTGAGTTTAATGTCAGGTCCACACGAGGGAAGGAGAGAAGCAACTCTCTTATGTCGTCTAACGTCTCAGGTCCCTCCACTCAGGGTCTCCTGTGGCCCCTTGCGCTGGGCAGAACTAGTAACTCCTAGGAGAGCTACATAAAGCCCCGGGACCGGGAAAATCCAGACCCTTTCTCCTAAACTCATCCCCTCCCAGAGCAGCAGGTGGCAGCACCAACATGGTTTTCAAATTACAACCATCGATAAAAGTCAAAACTAAAATGTAGGGCTGGAGAGATGGCTCAGAGGTTAAGAGCGTTGCCTGCTCTTCCAAAGGTCCTGAGTTCAATTCCCAGCAACCACATGGTGGCTCACAGCCATCTGTAAAGAGGTCTGGCGCCCTCTTCTGGTCTTCGGGCATGCACACAGAATATTGTATACATAATAAATAAATAAATATTAAAAAAAAAAACTAAAATGTACTTCCGCCCTTCCTAGATTTACACCCATCCTCCTCTCCCTGCCCAGGCCCTTTGCCCGCCTGGGTTAATGAGAAACAGAAGTCAATGGACTTGTAAACGAACTTAGAAGGTGAGAGGGATCATTGAGGTGGGGTGGGGGTGGTGTCAGTTTGGCTTTAGACACTATTCCCGGTCTCTGGAGCACAATCTTGACTCAGCCAGCCTCCCAAATTTACATCTAAGGTTGAAAAGTTCCCCAGGACCAGTTGGATGACTCAGACATGAAGAGCTCTTGCTGCTTTTGCAGAGGACCCAGGTTTGATTCCGAGCACTTACATGGTGGTCCGTGACTCCAGTTCCCCAGTACCTGACACCTCTTCTGACCTCTGTATGCATCAGGCACATACACGGTGGATATACACACATATAGACAAAACATTCATGCATATAAAATAAAAGATATTGATATTTATTGAGCTCTACATTTTTCTCTGCTCCCCTCCCTATCTCTCCCCTCCCCAAGTCAACCTTCCCCCAAGGTACCCATGCTCCCAATTTACTCAGGAGATCTTGTCTTTTTCTGCTTTCTACTTCTCATGTAGATTAGATCTATGTAAGTCTCTCTTAGTGTCCATATTGCTGTCTAAGTTCTCTGGGATTGTGGTTTGTAGACTGGCTTTCTTTGCTTTATGTTTAAAAACCACCTATGTGTGAGTACATGTGATAATTGTCTTTCTGTGTCTAGGTTACCTCACTCAAAATAATGTTTTCTAGTTCCATCCATTTTCCTGCAAAATTCAAGCTGTCATTATTTTTTCTGCTGTGTCGTACTCCATTGTGTAAATGTACCACATTTTCCTTATCCATTCTTCTGTCCAGGGGCATTTAGGTTGTTTCCAGGTTCTGGCTGTGACAAACAATGTTGCTATGAACATAGATGAGCACATGTCCTTGTGGCACGATTGAGCATCCTTTGTATATATACCCAAAAGTCATATTACGGGGTCTTGAGGAAGGTTGTTTCCTAATTTTCTGAGAAATTGCCACACTGACATCCAAAGGGATTGTACCAGCTTGCATTCCCACCAGCAATGCAGAAGTGTTCCCTTTTCCCCACAACCTCTCCAGCATTAGTTGTCATCAGTGTTTTTAATCTTGGCCATTCTTACAGGTGTAAGATGGAATCTCAGAGTTGTTTTGATTTTCATTTCTCTGATGACTAAGGATGTTGAACATTTCCTTAAGTGTCTTTCAGCCATTTTAGATTCCTCTGTTGAGATTTCTCTGTTTAGGTCTGTACTTCATTTTTTTATTGGATGATGTGTTCTTTGGGTTTTCAATTTCTTGAGTTCTTTGTATATTTTAGAGATCAGACCTCTGTCTGATGTGGGGTTAGTGAAGATATTTTCCCATTCTGTAGGCTGTTGTTTTGTCTTGTTGACCGTGTCCTTTGGTTTGCAGAAGCTTTTCAGTTTCAGGAGGTCCCATTTATTAATTGTTTCTCTCAGTGTCTGTGCTGCTGGGGTTCTATTTAGGAAGTGGTTCCCTGTGCCACTGAGTTCAAGTGTACTTCCCACTTTCTCTTCTATAAGGTTCAGTGTGGCTGCCTTTATGTTGAGGTCTTTGATCCATTTGGACTTGAGTTTTGTGCATGGAGATAGATATGGGTCTATATTCATTCTTCTACATGTTGATATCCGGTTATACCAGCATCACATGTTAAATATGCTTTCTTTTTTCCATTTGATAGTTTTGCTTCTTTGTCAAAAATAAAAATTTTTAATTTGCTTCCCCTATGCCCAGGATTACAGACCTCATGCTTGTGCAGGTCATGTGTGCTCAGGTCATGCGTGCACAGGTCATGCACGCTCAGGTCATGCGTGCACAGGTCATACGTGCACAGGTCATGCATGCTCAGGTCAGGCGCATCTTGTGCTCTTTAATGGCCAACATTTGGATAACAGAAAGAGCATCAGAAGGGTGAGTTAGAATAAGATGATGAACTCTCCCTCCCAGTTTCCCTAAAGCTGAGCCGATTAGAAGGCTTATGTCCCAGGAGACCTGTCCGTCCCTGGCAAGTCGTCCAATAGGCCGTGTGACAGTCCATCTTCCTTGTGAATGTGACAGAGTTTAAGATCATGGGGTAGACTGTCTCATTTGTCTTCCTGTTTCTGTGACAAATTTCTCAACAAAAGCAGCTCAGAGGGGATTTCTTCTGGCTCACAGTTCCAGGCCAGAGTCCATCAGGGCGAGGAGGACAAGGCCTGATGTCCGCCTGGAGTCCTGGCTGTCCACATCACATCCGCAGTCAGGAGCAGAACGATGAAGCCTGTGTCCCAGTCAAGCATTTCTCCTTTGTAGTCAGCCCAGAACCCAAGCCCAGGGAACAGTGTCCCCCACAATCAAGATGGGTGACGCACGCCGTTAGTCCCAGCATGATGTGGGAGTAATTTCTTACTAATAAAGAAACTGCCTAGGCCCATTTGATAGGCCAACCCTTAGGTAGGTGGAGAAAACAGAACAGGATGCTGGGAGAAAGAAACTGAGTCAGGAGTCGCTATGATTCTCCCACTCCAGACAGACGCAGGTTAAGATCCTTCCTGGTAAGCCACCTCGTGGGCTACACAGAATATTAGAAATGCGTTAGGTCAATATCAGTCTAATCTCAGGGTCTAGTGAGGGCATTGTCTTGGGTTGAAGATGGCTGCACCTCACAAGCGTTGTTAGACAAGAGCCTGGATCTAGATAATCCTTCCCAGGTGTGCCAGGGGCTTGTCTCCTAGGGGTCCCACTCACAGAGATGTGCCTCCAGAAATAACGAGGAAGAAAAACCCACCATGGTTATGGATAGCAGGACTGGGACCCTGGGCAAACAGGTAAAGGCGGAAACCATTGAATCTTTGCTAGACGGTCCTACAGACCAAGCCACTCCTGCCCCTGGGCTGTCCTGCTCTCCCTATAAAGCCAACCTTGCCTACCTCAAGTTAATTTGTGTCAGTCATTAGTCACCGTGCAGGAAGGGTCGCTAATGTGTTCTCTCTGTCAGAAACCAGTCCCTCAGACTAAACAAGGGGTGGGTTCAGAAGCCCTCTATAGCTTGTACTTTTAGCTTTAGAGCCCCCAGGTCCCCTGCTGTTGTTAGGAAGCTCCTCTCAAACTTTATACCTTAGAAATTATTGAGAACCTCGAAGAGCATCTGCTTATGTAAGCTCTGTCAAACTAGAAATTCCAATGGAAGATTTTAAAACCAAAAAATATGCAACTTGCATTGCCATGGATGTCAGAGGATAAGTCAGCACGCGTCCTGCGGCCTCCAACGGGCTCTGCTGTGTGCTCGTGGGAGAGGAGAGGAGAACAAATAACAGCTGGGGGTTTTCAGAGAAATTCTTTAGACCACTGAGCAGCGATTACAGAATACATCCTTAACCCCAGGCTTTACAGATTACATCCATTTAGTCATAAACCACACAACACAGTGGTATGCTTTTGCCCTAAGTGGTTATATGTATTTTAAAGATATTAAGAAGATCACTAAGAGTGCTTGCTGCTCCTCCAAAACATAACATTCTCCATATCCCAGGACCCGCACCAAGTGGCTCACAACCACCTTGGAACTCCAGCACCAGGAAATCTGATGCCCTCTTCTGGCCTCTGCAGGCACCTGCACATATCACACACACACACACACACACACACACACAAGACAGGGTTTATCTGTAGCTTTGGAGCCTGTCCTGGAACTAGCTCTTGTAGACCAGGCTGGCCTAGAACTCACAGAGATCTTCCTGTCTCTGCCTCCCGAGTGCTGGGATTAAAGGCGTGCACCACTACTACCCTGCTACACCTTTTTTTTTAAAGTGCATCTTATATTTACCTACAAATTTGCCATTTCTCTCTGCTCTTCCCCCGGTCTCATTGTCCTTCATTCTGAAGACTTCTCTCCTGCTCCTTGTGGTGCAGGTCTGTGGATGACCTTGTCTTTGTTCATCGGAGCCCCTGGAGGATTTTGTTTTTCCTTTTTAGATGGAGTCTCAGTACTGACCCAGGCTGAGCTCAAACTCATGCCTCCCCTGTTCAGCCTCCCGGGGACTTGCTTCACGGGCGCTTTTTACATCACTGGCTCTTTCTGTAGCGTCTTAAAGGAGCTGTTTCTGTTCTGAATCATCGAAAATGTCCTCCCTATGCAGAGTTCTTAACTCCGGCGGCTTCCAGGGGAATTCATTTGTTCATTCCTTCATTTGTTCGTTCTTGGTCTTGTGACCTGAATCCAGGGCTTCACATATTAAACAAGTTCTCTTTCCTACTCCTCTCTGACTGCTCTCTAGATCTTTCCTTTATCTTTTCAACTGACTCTATTTTTAATTTTCAGTTCTGCTTTGGGTATACCGAGCTTCCTGAATCTGAAAACACATCTCTCAGTCAAGCTAGGAAGAGTTCAGTCACAGTTTATTTTTTGTTTTTCTAGTTAGCACACCACACAATGGATTCCATTCATATTGTTGCACTTTGCTCGTATTCATGCCCCCTTTCTCTTCTCTTCTCCTTCCCCCCCCCCTACAGGTTCCCTTCCCCTGACAAAGAAGCTCCCTTCTATTTTCATGCCCCATCCCGTTCCTCCTTGATCTGGATTCCTTCTGCCCTGGTCTGGTTTTTCTTGATTAACGTGATGGTCTCTAGCTCTGCTATTTTCTAAAAGTGGCATGTCCTCCTCCTCCTCTTTTTTTCTTCTGAATAAAACACTGCTCTGTCTGTGTGTGTCACATTTTCTTTATTGAACTGTCAATGGGCCTCTAACCTCTAATGTCCATGTCTCGATTGTTGTGTTTGATGCCTCAGTAAACACATATTGCCTGAGTCAACGGACCACGCCATCGTGTCTTCCGATGTTTCTTCTGCGTGATTCTCTCTCTCCATCTCCATTTGACATGACAGAAACATATGCATTCAGAAGCTTTACATTTCCAACAGACCCCTGTGTTTCTGCTCATTTTAAAAACATTTCCTCGGTTCTTCGGGTAGGATCATTGTTATTTCTGTTTCCGAGTCCGCAGGCTTCTCCCGCCTCTGCCGTGTCCTACTAAGCACTCACAGTTACTCTTTTGTTTTCTTTCCTTTCTTCCTCTTGTTTTGTTTGGCTTTGCTTTGTTAAGATGGGGTCCCGCTCTGTAGCTCTGGCTGGCCTAGAACTCATTAATATGCAGACCAGGCTATCCTCAGACTTACAGAGATATGTCTGCTCCTGCCTCTCAGAAAGGTAGTACCGACATTTAGCTCACTTGCTTTTTGTTGTCTGTTTGTTGCTTGGGGGTTGTTGTTGTTTTGCTTTGATTTTTTTGAGACAAGAGTGTTATGGCCTCTGTGTAACTGAAGGTGCTCTAGAATTCTTGATCTTCTTGCATCCACCTCCCAAGTGTTGGGAATATAGTTCTGTGCCACCATGA